GTGTGTGTGTGTGTGTGTGTGCGTGTGTATGTGGATTTGTGTGCATAGATGAGTGATAAAATAGTACCTACTAACGTATGACTGAGTAGCGGTTATTTGACAGTGTGTGCGCACTGCCACTAGATGCCATTGGTATCCGACTGCACACCGAGGCCTCGGGCAGGGAGTAGGGATGGTCGAAAGTGCCACCAAATACTACGCAGTCTTCTACAAAGGTCGGTGGAGCCGCCTTCGTTTTCATTGTTTGTTTGTCTGTTGATCTCATGGTGTCAAGTTGGTTATCAATTAACTTCTCCAGTTCTGCCTTCTTCTCATGCGTCTGCGGTGTTGACATGTTTGTGTTCTTGTTGGCTTTTATTTTCAAGTTCGTTTGTCCAGTCGTATGCAGAATCGCGGTTACCTCACGACCAAGTTCTGCATACCTCCCGCCACTCTTGGGCCTTGGGTTTGCGTAGCTCTAACTGTTATATTGTAGTACATGTGTTGTCTCCAATGATGGGAGTTCAGTTGTACTTGATATTTCACTAGCATGCAGCAGTGTGCAACTCAGAACACTTGTTTTCATTAACTTGCTGTGAATAGAAGTGCAGTCTTCTATAATCAAATTATCTAGTTGGTTAATTAAGTTAAAGTCCTTGGATAGGGTTTTCTTGTCAACTTTATGGTGTTTTCCTTGAATGGTCATGGAATTGTGTGTTTGTGGAAGAGTGGGTGTTGCGTAAGCTCTTTTGGGTATGCGTAGAGGGCCAAGTGAATTGAGTTAATTGTGAAGGGCAGTTGATTGTTCACTGTTATTATAAGTACGTGGCAATTTTCAGGGGTTGAGGACATTATAATTACACGATCACGGCTCTCATTTCCCTCGAAATGCGGAACAGTGGATATGGTGGTTGATAATTGGAGATGGCATTTAGTTGTGACTCATTGTGAGGGTGGGATTGGAAGTGGTCCGTTTCGATGGAGGGCGTCACAGCAAACCCTGCCTCCTTGTTTTAGCGGAAGTTGAATCCCGTTCAGCAACGCGCGGAGGTTGTCGGGCTTGCAAGTACTGTTGACATCGACGATGGCACAGACTTTGAGCTCAGCACTGCTCTCATTCATGCTTCACCGCTTCAGTCGAGCGCGTCTTCTGCGTTGCCTACGCCTGTTCATCAAGCTCTCCCTCTACTCGCCAAAACGAATGAATCCGTTCGAGGAGCTTCAAGTGCTCCTCTGACAGCCTGTGCGTCTCCGTTGCAGTCCACGCCTTCATCAGCCTTAACGCCAACGACGGCAACCTCAACAATGACCTACTCCCATCATCAATGCTGCAACGTGTCTCAGTACTCTGCGGCTGTGGTACAATGTGTCGCTCCAGCTAGTGTGCTGTCCCAGATAGCGAAACCTGTAGCTACAGGTAAGTTGGCTTGGGAGTGCAGAGGTGATTGCGGTGCGTGTGGCATCTTCAAACGCATGGAGGGTATCAAAGGGTTGGTGACCAACTCAGTCAATTGTATCACTTTAGGTAAACGTCCATTGATTCCGGCGGTAAGCGCGACCACCGCATCGATGCTACCCGTCTCAACTCAGCATACGTTCGATGGGTGTGGAAAGGCGAGCTTCCTCACAGGACGCCCGATGATTGCACCGAGTAGGAGCGTGGTGTCCACGGTGACTACGACCACTAATAACAAGCGTCCAGTGGTGCACAAGTATCACACGTTT